TCCCGGTTCCGCCAAGACCAGCTGCCATCAAACGGCCAAGACCACAAGCAGAGGAAAAGAAAAAGGTATTCAAGGGTGACCGAACTGGTGAAAAAAGGAAGCTTCCAGAGGAAGGCACTGAAGGGCGAGCCCGTACAAGAAGGAGGATAAAATCAAACAACTATCTGCAACCTTTAAGGACTGGGCCCAGAAAAGGATGTCCGAATATCACAAAGATAAGTAAAATTTTATGTTACTTTGCAAACTTAAGTTAATCTTTCATTCTTACTGCAAGTGGCAGATTTCAAGAAGTTTTACCTCATGCGAGGTCTACCTTTATCGCCAAAAGGGCGAGAAATGAGTTGTTACCGATTTTGGTATTATGTTTTTCAATTACTCGCGCGTAAAACTAAAGTTGATGTATAATAGCGTTGTGTAAAGACTTAAATATTGTAAAAAGTTATTGTATAAATTTTATTTAAAACATTCTAGGCAAGAAAGAAGTTTTAGTCTGAAAGACTTTTTGAAATGTAGTATTTCAATGTAGAAAGAATTGGCACTTGCTTTGAAAAGAATAGAAGTTAACAATGTACTACTAATGTATGTTTTCAAATGTGTAAAATTAACGGCATGTTGATATGTTCTTATATACAATGTGAACTGTTATTTTAAATGTTAAGAAATACCGTGATATGGTAAAAGTGAAAGTGTTAAAATTTTTTTATTCGTGTGACTGTAAAAAGACCAAATCATGGTGAATATGTGTTAAAGGTTGAATGATGTAGTTAGGCTCTCTGACGCAACACTTCAGAGTTAGACACTTTCAGAATAGTACCTCAGGGTTTAGAGTTGAAATTAGGGTGTGTTACTGGTTATGTTGAATTTTAACACGTTAGTGTTTTGATTGTAGGAGGAAGTGTGGAACACGTAGACAGAAACACATTCGTGTTTGGTGTTCTGTTACAACACATGTCAGAGAGCTCGGGGAGAGATAATTAAAATAGTCATGAATGAAATAAGAATGTTAAGAGAAATATATATACATGTTACTTGCCATTTCATTGTGTAACATTTCATTAAACTAGTTTTCCTTCCAGATCTCTGGAAGGAACCAGATTTGAATAAGAGCTCCTGTTTGGATGCAGTACAGATGAAAAAAAAATTGTGTATCCTGGGAGCTGCTATTGTAAAAACAAATTTCTTTCTTTTAAATTTCTAGTTTCTAGCGAAAAAAATGTTTGTAAAAGATTGGCCTCGCGTTAGATTCTAGAGCTAAAAGTTTTCAACAAGGTCGTTTTAGACCTCAGTTTCAAACTAATTAACTCTGGCGGGAAGTATGTAAGGATCTTAAGTTTTACTAACGTTTATTTTATTTTAAATCTTTACTATCACTTCTTATTTTCTACTTCCGGCCAGAATTATAAGCGTTAAGGTTTTTATGCAAAGTTTGTCTGGCGAACGCCAAGTATTTAAGTTGTGGCTTTTTGCCAAGCGAGAGAGAGGAAGCAGTGAGTCGAAGCAGAGTCGAAGCAGGCCGCTTACCTTAGAAGTTACGCAGTTGCTGGTTTGCCTTCCAGGCCAGAGGTTTTAATCCTCTTGATAAATTTTAAACGTATTGTAGTGTTCACAGTTCTCTGTACTACATACGGCTTCCTGTTATATAAGGCCAATCTTCCACGTTTATTATTCTAAAGTTAAATTAGAGTTTAGTTTTATTTTTATATTTTACGTTAGACCCCAAGTAGGAGGGTCATTGTATTCCGAAGTACGGAAGTCATTGTAAATAGAGAAAAATAAAGGGTTTTGTATACCCTTCTTGTGTATCCTGTTTACTTCCCACAGTTTTGAACATAGCTTTAGTAAGCTCTCTGTTCCGAGTCAGGTCCTTGCATGTTCCCGAAGAAGGTTAGAAGGAACATTGAACCTGATAAACTTGGTGACACTGGTTTCCTTAAAAGAAATTTTTGCAATTAATTTTAAGACAGTAAGTTCTCAGTTATTAGGAAAATAGTTTATGACTCACTGATTCTCTTTTCCTGCACTAATATTAACAGAATCTTGGCGAGTCGGCTGATTATATTATTAGAAACTTCTTTCGTATTGGAAGTCTTATTATAATAGTCTTTCGTATTATATTGTCTGCGGAAATGCTATTACTGAGATTGTATAACAAGCTAATAAACTTCGCTTTCTTCTTATTTATTATGTGAAGCATGGTTGGAGAATACCTGTTCAGTGTGACCTTCAGTAAACTTTCTAGTTCCTTTTTCATTCCATACTGATATGGAATTCATCTACCTGCACTTTATTTCAATGAAGTGAAAACTCGTTTCTTTTCAATAAAAATCCATCTTTGATAGAATTAATAAATTTTATTTAGACATTTGAAACGCAAATATATGTGATATTTTAGCAGTCGTGGTGAAGCTTGGCATCAAAGCTCAGGCATGGTTTTTGCAGAGTGGTAAGGAAAAATCCAATGAAGACACAAAAATTATTTAGCTTTTAACTGTGCATCTTTATTCCATATCTTTAATTCAATTATCACTGTAGATCTTTATTCGTTACTAAATAAGAGTATTTTAACTTTAATGCGTCATAACTTATTCTAATAAAGAAAGCAAGATGAGAAGCGCAGTAGCATAGACCCTAACGGCACAGAGAGAGAAAAAGCTTCTGACGCAAAATGGCGCGTATTCGTTATTTATAGTAGCGGTTATGTAACAGGCGCGAATGTTCTGGAAGGTGCTGGTCTAGGCGGAAGATCCTAAATTGCAGAAAATTAAATGAGGTTCGCGTAGAGCAAAGCCATCTTTTTTTTTTTTTTTTTTTTTATAAATCGTATTTTTTCATCGTATTTTATTAAAAAAATACGATGGCTTTGCTCTACGCGAACAGGCAACCTCTAATTAACTTTCCGCAATTTCAGGATCTTCCCCCTAGACCAGTACTTTCGAGAACATTCTGGCATGTTATGTAATCGCTACTATAAATGCTGAGTTCGCGCCATTTTTCGTGAAACTGCTCCTTGCCATCCCTGCTATAAGACCTTGCTCTGCTTTGTCCTCTCTTCTTCCCTTTGTTAGAATATTTATGACGTCGAAAGTCTAAATTTAAACTTATTTTAATTTAAATCATTATTGGATATGTCATTTTGGAGAATCTAAAATAAGAGTAATCTGCCTTTTTAAGTGAAGAAAGATATGGAGTTTTTAAAAGTGAAATTCTCCTGTGTCTTCAATTCGGCTGCCTTCCACTCCGCAACGACAACATCGGACTCTGAAGTTAGTCAGATGCCACACACACACATATCATATATATATATATATATATATATATATATATTTATATATGTGTATATATATGTATATATATATATATATTATGTAATATTAGGATGCCATAGAAGCTACAAATAATTTTAATTACTGCTGATAGCTGTAGATGGTGCAAGCGTACAAAATGAATAATTACATAGGTGCAGTAAGACGGAGCCTTTCTGACAATTATATTCAATTATATTTCTGATAACAAATTTCAGTTCTGGACAGAACAATTTAGAATTACATTCTGATTCACACATCATTATGAGTGCAATGTTCACCCATTCCTTATAACATTTTTGTACCAGTTCTGCATTTTAAGACAAATACAGATGACAGAGAGAAGTGAGCAGCTGGAAGTTAGCTGGAATCAAGCAAGCAAGAAAAATGGAGTGCATTCAGGAGAAAGCTTAATTAATTTAATTCATTTGAACTGACATCAAATGATTCCATATCATATAATATTTGCTTTCGATATTTCTATATATAAAGATGTGAAAATCAAAATTACTTACTTAATTTTATCTTTTTAATTCCTGACTTTAATTTGGCTATGTCATCTTCCAGCAATCTTTTAGTACGTCATCTTAAAATTAATCCGTTACATGTTTATGTAATTATGCTGCTGTGCGACAGCTCTTGTCCAATCGGAATTAAAGGAACTTCTTAGTGTAACTCTCACTGTTACTACTACTCATCCCTTTTTCCCTCTCTAAAGTGCTCGCTTCGAGTTTTGAGTCGGAAGCCAGATTGTACTTAACTCGTTTGATGTTTGAAAACGGAAATCTTTACGTACGTAGTGGAAAGGTACACACGCATGATCAGTAACCTTTTCAACTCACTAAATGGGATAATAGCCTTTTCAACTCACTGAATTGTAGCCTTTTCAACCCACTGAATGGGATAATTGGATAGGTATCAGTTAAAGACGAGATGTTTATCCATGTCGTAATTACCTGCAGAGGCTTTAATGCGTAGATGCAAGGATAACATTCACCGATAAAAGTGGCAGAATTTACATAATTTTATGTCTGGATAAAGCATTTCCAGAGACACAATATTAATTTTCGAAATTTTTATTATGGGTGAGATATGCACTCCACTGTTTGTACAGCTCATATCTTTTTTAGACACTTGACAATAGCGAGGCAGGAAATTATACGTGGCTAACAGAAGCAAGGCGAAACGAAAGAAAGAGGTTCGCAATAGTATAGTAAAAGTTCATTTAATACAATTGTACGAGAGCTGTAGCAGTGAGGCTAACATCTTAAAGGCGCACACTTAAACGCTTCTGCAGCACACAACAACAACAGCATGATTACATAAACACAGTACACATTAATATTCAGATGACGCACTTTAGATTCCGGGAAGGGGACGTAGCCAAATTAACATCAGAAATTAAAGAGAGAAATTAAAGTTAGTCATTTTGTGTTTCGTATTTTTACCTTATACACACACAGACATTTACGGAGATTGCAAAGTTATAATTTGTTATTACGTAACAAAGATATATCTCATTTCTACGTAAATAATATACTAATTTAATTTACTCATTCCAGAATTCAAATACAGATTTTCGTTCATCGAAAATAAATCAAGAAATTGTCAAAATATGTTTCTAAATTAATTTAAATATATTTATTTTCAGTAATTTATTTTCTTTAAGTCTGCTCGTTGTTTTCTTATTTATTAAAGGGAGAAATTCGAATGGTCGTAGAAGCTGGCGGAGACCCTCGAAATATAGTATTTGCGCATACTTTCAAGACACCTCGTGCCTTGAAATATGCTTCCTCAGTGGGCGTGGATTTGATGACATTTGATGCTGAAGAAGAGCTCATAAAAATTCATGAGAAGTATCCCGAAACCAGGTTGGTGACCAGTAAGATTTGAAGCAGCCATTAAATGCATCAAATATAACGCATCTGATTAATATAATAACTTAAATAAGAATACAATTTTAATTTACTATAATCTGTTACTTTAAAATAGGCGCTTCAAGGCCGTTGCCATACCCCGTCTGAGATCATAACTCATGTCGTCATCACCGCAGAATATTTAATTTCTAGAAGTCATTTGAGGCTGTATTCAAAATCTTTATGCACATTTAACTATGGCAAAGCATTCGAGGGCTATCTGGCTAAAGGAATGCCTTGATAGAAGGCTTTCTAAGAGAAATATATACATGTTACACATGGATAAAAACACTAAAACGCCCATGCAACAGCTCGTTCATCGGGCTTTGAAGTCGGACGGAACTACCAGTGTTCAGCAACTTTATCGCTTGGCCACTGGTGGACTGGGTAAACGGAAATGATGCGGGAAACATAAAAAAGCCACATAACCTTTCCCATTGTTCCTATGGTTACGAGTATAATCGGGGGGAGGGCGAAAAATAAACTTGAAGTTCCTATTGTAAAGTAACAGACTATAATAAAGGCTTTCACTGTTTATTTAATTAACACTTGAATTGTACTTAATGAGTCTTCTTATTTAATTAAGGTTTCAGTTTCACATAATGCCTCCATTTAATAAATTCCAAAAATGTAGCCCTTTGCTGCATAAAATCACTGAAAGGTATTCTATTAAATTCTACTTTGGCTAATTAATTAATATAGAACTTTATTGAAATACGTAATCTATAAAAGTAAATATAATAGTTCGTTTAAAACCTTCTAGTAAAATCTAAGGCAAAAATTGGAAAAATCTAAGGCAAGTACAAAAATAAAAGTAAGTTTTCTCCAAGGAATAAATATCTAAGACAAGTACAAAAATAAAGTAAATTTTTTCCAAAGAATAAATGTCAAGTCCCTCCTAAGCATGCTGACCATGTAAAAATACTAAAAGTCACTAAGAGATTCAGAAAGATATATAATCTTCACTGCGTGTGTTCGAAGATGGATGCAGCTCTTGGAAGTAGGCTCTGTTTTGGGAATGTATTTCGAAGACTGGCATTGGACAACTGGTGCAAGGCAATACTCGGATGAAGATTGCAGATTATATTCCCATACTGGAAGATTACGTCATCCCTTATGGAGACTTCTTGCCTTGAGACAGCGTTACCGCCAAACCTATCTACCAAGATGACAATTGTACTATATATCACGCCAGATGCATCCAGGACTGATTCGCAGAATTTGAGTCTCGAAGTCATTATTTATTAAAATACAATTTTCTTTAACATAGAGACTTTGCAAGATATTTATTATTGAGAAAATTACCCTTATATTTAGTTCAAATCATTTTTATTTTTACTTAAAAAGGATTCATTCAGCTGCAATTATAAATGCAAATTTTTACATTTGATAAATATTAGAACCGTTTATTTTTATTTCTAAGTATAAAAAAGAATCAATGAACATTTCTTAATTTGCTTTCGAAAAATTTACTGCAAGTTATACTCTAACATTTATCAAATTAAAACGAAAAATTAAGCTTAAGATTATGCAATCCCACGAGTATTTTTCCCAAACTGCATTTCACAGCGTGTAGTTGTGAAATGTTATTTGTGTGCGCGAGGGGGAAAATAAATGTGAATATAATCTTCATACTTCATCTTTTTTTAATCTTCTATAGTAACCTCACAGTTATAACATTTTAAAGTGTCTTTCTACTTAATTAACTTGTAACTAACTGCTCATCTTCAAAATTTGCCTGCACATATTGCCGTCTCCTTCATTTTGACTATGGATACAGACAACTCAAAAGATAAAAGTTAATTTTTTACCTTTTGATTATTTATATATTATTATACCTCAGGTATTTCTAATCATGTGGCTGAAATCCAGTATGAAGTACAGTTTTTTGTTCCAGGTTGCTTCTACGTCTCAGCCCAAAAGACATTCAATGTGCCTTTGATCTGAGTGAAAAATTCGGTTGCAAACTGGATGAAATCCATTACTTGCTCTCTCGAGCTAAAGAACTTAATCTGAAAGTTGTCGGAGTAAGGTAAGTATGCATAATTAGATATAAAGCGATGTAAGAAAATGTTAGATGCGATAATTGTTTTGTTCTAGGTTTGCATAATTCTGAATATGAACTATATTTTCCCATTCGCGTTATTATCAGAATATCATCCATTTTGACCCTCCAGCCTTAACTTTTACCTTTTGAGTTTATGCATTCTCCAAATTTAATGATTCTACAATCTAATGATATGATAAACTCATTGTCAAGTCTGTGCCTATGATGCACCTTGTGAATCATTTAAACCAAAGTTTCTTAAACTACGGGTCGCCACCCAAATGAGGTCGCGAAAATTCAATTCGATAGTTGAATTTAAAGAAACTGTATTCATAAGAGTTTTAAAGAAATTACTATTATGAGATTAGACTTTTAAAGACATTACATTAATTGATATTAATGCGATTAATCACCTGTTATATAAAGTGCAAAAAGGAATTTGTGAAAACTATCTAGCGATTCAAACTTAAAACTTGAGATTTCACAAGAATCCTTGATGAATTCTGGATTGGAGTTACAACTATTTCTGAAATGGCATTAAATGTTCTTCTCTCATTCAGCACTACATATTTTTATGTAACTTGCAGCTTTAAGGCTTAATAAAACCAAATGTCGTTCAACTTTGAAACATGTTAAAGATGCCTAATGTCCAGCCAGCAGTGTCAAATATCGTACCAACATTTAATTTGTTACGCAGCAGAAAACAAACACATCTGTCTCAATAGAATTTTCTTTATTTTTTGTTTGCTTAGAATAAATCCTAAAACTACTTCTTTTTATATGTATACTGTTTACCAAAGAAGTAAATTATCTACGGAAGGATATTTATTTTTATATTTTTATTTTAAATTTAATATCTGGGATCGCGAAAAGATTCTGAGCCATAAAAAATGGTCGCGAGAGTTTAACAAAGTTTAAAGTCCTGGTTTAAACAAAAGAGCATGCTAATAGTAACTGAAAAATATTGTTATAAATTTTGTATTTAGATAGCCAATTTTCGTACAATTGTAATTAAAATTGTTGTATTTCCCCGTGTAATGCAACGCGAGACAAATTTTAAGAGAAAGCTATGCCGAAAGTAAAAATACAGGAGCACGTGCATTTAACATTAAATAAATGGATATTTCGTTAATTTGTATTTAAATTGAATAAATGTTATTGACTACTATATTAGTTGCAACTGTAATTCCACTCTTCTTGCTTTCCAGAAATTTCGGAAAACAGAAATTACTAGATTTTTCTAGTCGGCTGGTTGAAATCTATAAAAAAAAGAAAAAAAACAGAGAGCATCTCAGCTCAGTTGTTTAATTAGCTGCTATTGTAATTGTTGCAAGTTGCTTAGTTATTGTTGTTGCAATTTGTTTAGTTCCGCGTGAACTGAGATATCTGAATTAGCTTTCTCTTTAGACAACGCTTTGCATTGCTTTGTATTTTAATGTTTTTAGTAGTTTGAAGTATGACTACTGATTATACTGCGTGATATTGTGAACACTTGTATGAATATCTCCGAGGAAAACTCAAGCGTTCTCATATATTTCTTTTGATAAGAATAAATTTTGTTAACCTATTATTGGACTTGTGCATTCAATCTAATACGAACCATTTCACACACAACAAATATATTTTTGTGAATATTTAAATAACATATGTAGTAAATTTGATGAGCAGTAACTGAATATTCCGAATGATTTTTCTTAATCAACATATCGAATGCATACAGCAAAATTCCACTCCGCAATGAAAAATTCATTAGAGTTTTATTATACATCGTAAACTTAAATAAAAAATATGATGTGTACACCACATGACTTCCTTGTAATATTAAATTATACGCATTTTTTCTTACATTTCATTTAAACTTATTAGATTGAATTAAACCTACTTCGCCGACAGCGCATAAACCACAATAGAATAAATGCATTCTTTAAAATCCACTTTGTTTACCCATAGCGACACTCTGGCGCTAGGTTTACTTACCAGTATTATATTTCGTTCATATTATAACTCAGAATGCACAAAATTTATATCATTTAAAGAATTATTTAATCGCTGCCACATGTTCTTTTGAAATACTATAATAAAGCTAGAACGATGTACTAAAGAAATTAAGAAAACAAAACAAAAAAGAAACAGTTTTTCATAGACGATTGAGTATTTCTCATTCAATTAATTCAGTTTTCACTTCGCGACAAGGCAAAAATACATAAAAACTCAAAATATCTGTATTAAAAATTATGAAGTAAATCTTAAACGCTTATTTCCTCGAAAAAATTCAGAAAGGATTAAGCATGATTTAAATAATAAATGAAGGCGTTATCTTTGTTGTTGCGAAGCTAAGTTTCTCTAGATTGGCAACGAATCCGCTATCCTGCTGTTTTCATATGTAAACAAGAGAAATAGCCGCCATCAAAAACATTATTGGCTTAGCGGGCACTTAAACAATTTTTAAAATTGTTGATAATTATAAAAATATGCATACAGATTTACTATAAAGGCATAAAAACCTTAACCGGAAGATAAGAACAACATAATTCAATCATTTTTAAAGCAAAAATGTACAATTTACAAACATATAAGAGTAAAGAAACTGAGATCACTGAGCCGGGTAACAGAGTGGATATATATATAAATATATTTATACGTTTGGTGAGGCCGATTGCAACCAAAATACGAGGTGCACATCTACATGTTATAGCAGTCCTATATACAAAATTTCAATGTTCTGAGGCTACTCGTTTTTGAGTTATGCGAGATACGTACGTACATACGTTCGTACAGACGCCACGAAAAATTCTCTTCAGAATTCATTTTAAAGCAGTTTTATAATTTTTTTTGGGGGAAAAGAGTGTTTTATTCTGCCCTTACATACAGATATCACGGAAATACATCGTTAAATTGCATTTGAAAGAGATCGAAATGGGATAGTTTCGTCGAAATATGCTGCCTGAAACTTTTCGCGATTACAATACTTCCTTTTAACTTCGTACAAGGAAGTAAAAAGGAAGTGAATTAAAATATTTCTACAAATTGTGTTGCTTTCAAATATCACTGCTTAATTCATTCGAATATCTAAATTTTCCTTTTAAAGTTTTGTAGAACTGTTTCCAGAACTTCAGACATTTAGAAATATAAAAAATTTCCTGCTATTTTCTGTTCAATTCTGCTCATTGCAAATCAGATCTATCCACAGCTGCAAATAATACATTGTAAATATATTTTAATATGAAACAAATATTAAGTAACATTCATAATTCTTACTCGGCAGAAAAATTAATCTTGTCAAATGGTGAATCTTAAATTTGTTTTACTGATTGAAAATTATGATTAAAATATAGTTACTTCGTAAGACTTTTGATATATATACTGTTATTAAATAAAAACGTTCCTGAAATAATATTAATTTCTAACGATAGCTTTCACGTGGGAGCTCTTTGTACGGAACCTGGATCTTTCGCTTCCACAATCTGTGACACACGAAAAGTTTTCGATGAGGCAAAGAAACTAGGCTTCAAATTCACAATAGTAGACATCGGAGGTGGATTTTTCGGCTCCACTGAAAGAGAAAAATTATTCCATGAAGTATGTATCTTGAATAAAATAACTTTGACAGTTATTTTATATTTCCAATACTTTAAGAAACGTATGCATTGGTAATTTGCTTATTTAATTCTAGTGTCCATCACCATAAACATATGTTTTTCAACCAAATTCTTTGCACTTCGAGTGTCAAGAGTTTTTGCAATTGACGATAGGATACAATTATAAATCGTGTTTTATCATAAAGATTGAACAATACTGGCTATGATCAAATATATAATCAACTGCATTTTTTTGTAATTAGAGTCATGGTGTAATGCTGCAAAGAAGGGCACACACACCCACATATCCTAAAAACTGGACTTAGGAATGTTACTTACCGATCTAAAATATCCATTGTACTTCACAGAATTCTAAATAACAGTGATATCTGTACAAAGAGGAATTCGAGCAAAGAATGAGCTTCTCAGTTTAATACCCTACCAGAACAAATCACTACCTTTCGTTTGTCTACTGATCATGACTCTTCAGCGAGCTCTGGATCAAGACTTTTACAGGTCCTAAACACTTAAGAGATTCTGATGTTCTCACATGCATTTACGCCTGTTTTTGCCCCTCCCCATTTTATCTCTCACGACCGTGGTTTAGCTGCATCAAATATTCCACCACAAAACTGGCGATGGAAAACATTTTTAGTGCCTCCTTTCCTCGAGATCTTAAGGATCCTTTTTGTGTGCCTCGTTTCCGTCATGCCCCAAGCACGTGCTTATTTTACATAATGGTTCTGCCTTAAACCCATCTCTTTCGATTTGGAATTGTCTCTCACCTATTAGTGCTCTTTTTTATGCGGATGCCATATGAACCTCCATTTTGCTGCCTTACTGCCTTGTCTGGCATCATTTTTTACTCTGAGAAATGGAAATTAGAAAACTCGTTTGACACACCTTTGATTTTTTTATTGTTTTGTTATCTTATAGTTGTATTTTGGCTGCATTTCATTTTTTTGCTTGCATGTCTTCCTCTTGCCTCGGCTTAATGACTCTCTCCCACGGTCTTTCTGCATTTGATGTAACTATTTTGAAAGTTCATTAGGTCTAACACAATCCAGACGTGAATATAAACAATAAGCATCAAATTCTAAGAAAAATAAGTCTAACCACTGACTGGGTGAGACAAGGAATACTGATGATTCTTTTTATGCAGCATTAATGCTTGTCACACAAATTTTAATCCTTATATTACATTTTTATCATTATATAATTCTTGTAAATTTGTTATCTTTATATGATTCTTGGGGTTAAAAGAAAACCTCTTCCTGTTACAACCTGTGTTTTAGAAAGCTCTCATTACTCTTCATTTACGATCTAATCATTAGTGTCTGGCTTAATTTATGACAGTATTTTATAACGTGAAAGAAATATATAAAATTCTAAAAAAATCTACTTTAGAAGTAATCATTTATTTACATTTTAGAAATTCACAATTTCACAATTCTCTCGGAGGTTGGAGAATAGAAAAAAAATTACTAGTCTCTGTATATCAGCAAATATAAAAAAATATTAAATACAAAAGAATAAACAATGAGCTTCATCTGTCATCGAAAACAAAACGAATTCCATTTACTTCAACATCCAAAAATTTGCCCAATTTTTCCTATACAATTTGCTTTCATGCGTCTACGCATTGACTTCCTTTACGGTAAATTGCAAAATAGATGTGTATGCACATTGCACAAAACAAAAATGGGACAGTTCTATATCTCCCATTCTATTGGTCCGATGGACAAAATTCAGATTGCGTTTCATGTCCTAAAAGCTTGACTTAATATATATTAGATTTATATATAGCATTGTTCTAATATAGGTATTTTGACATGAAATCGGGCTTTTCTGAAATGACATGCCAATGTTTTTCCATATTTCGATTCCACGACACAAATTATGCCTTAATATTAAATTTTGAAAAATTTGATATGAAACTTACGGAGAAATTCAAAAATTTACCTTGGCGCATTTTTTTTCAGTTTGCGCCAGGAATAATTCACTTGGTAAACTTCTTAAAAGTTAAACCTATTTTCCTTTCCCTTCTTGCATTGCGTAAGAGCGGAAAAAAGTCTCATCTTTCCTACTTTCAAATAATTTTAACAAACCACATTTGATGTTATTATCGTTTTCAACAAATATGCCAAATTACAAAACATGCCAGTATATAAATTCACGTATATCTTCGGAAATTTTGAATAAAAAATTCTGATTTTTTGCAGGTGTGCTTAGAAATACATCCACTTTAAGATCATGGTAAAAATTTTATAGATTGTAATACCAAATTTTTTTTCCAAAAAATTTATAAAAATTATTTTAAAATACAAATTTTAAAAATAAATCATAAAAAATGGGCGAATTTTATTTGGATTTGAACCTTAATTTCCAAATTTGAAAGTAACAATGAAATAATTTTAATAAAAAAGAGAGATTAATATACAAATTATTACATCGAGGAGGTAACATTTCAGAGCTCATTTTTTAAAAACTACTCGTGCAAATTTTACAAAACTTGGCAGTTTGGCATAATTTGAGTCACAGAATCGAAATAATTGGCATGTCATTTCAGAAAAAGTGCGATTTTGTGTCAGAATACCTATATTAGAACAACGCTATACTTATATAAATCTAAAATGTATTTTAAGTCGTGCTTTCGAGACAGGAAAAACGCAATTTCGTCAATCGGCCCAGTAGAACGGGAGATACAGAATTGTCCTCTTTTTTTCGCAATGTACATCAACCTTGCGCGAAGGCCAAGAATACATACTACTTCTACCAAGTTTTAGGACAAAGTTCGCAAGAAATCAAAAGTTGCAGTGAATTCATCAGTGCACTGATGAGATCCTACAAAGGCTGTTCGCCCATTTTTTTAGATGATTTTCATTGTAACCCGCTTTTAAAAAATATAAAGCGTAAAAATTGCGTTGGTGATAGAGATGAGGAGATTTAGTAGAGATATGAGTGAAGGATATGGCCTTGATACTCGTTTCCTCTTCCATTATTTCCAGGAAATTAACAGTGGATTTTTTGACGTATCCCTGCTAATTTTGTCTTAATTCAGTTGTACTGATTAATCATATTGTGTAAAGGGAAGGAAGGTATTTCATATTTGAAAATTGGGTAAAAATAGGTTTTTGATAAAGTGTGGTGTTGATCTAACACTTCCCGCACTCTCTCTATTTTTAATTTTCCGTGATATGAAAAACCAGCAAAAATCATAAATCCCTTAGAAAAACTTTGTTTAGATTTTTTGAACCATGTTTTACGATTTGTTTCTCTTTGATGATAATAAGTGAATCTCTTTTTATTACATTCGTTTAAGTTCACCCAAGATTCGACTATTGTGACATTTTGCCTTTTATCCGGATAAATGTTTCTCATGGAGAATTCTGCAGCGTGTTCAACATTCAGCGATACGTTGTGGAGAAAGACGATGTACATTATGCTTTTTCGCCTTTTTTTAGATTCAAATCAGCATTAATCACTTTGCTTACATTTGACAATGAGCATTTTTAATGATTTTGTAACTGAGCTTGATTTGGCGGATTTTCGTTTAACATTAAAGATCTTATTTTTCCAAAATTCGAAACATACCGTTTTTTCCTTGGATACTTATTTGGGACAATTTTTCCATTTGAAGCTAAATTTTGATGTTTTCTCCCTCTTTGACATCATTTCGTATCTTAGCTTTAGATATTAAAAAATCATGGCTTTCACAGTGTTTTTTAATAACTAAACAGGAATAATTTTGTTTGGAAGGAACACAAACATAGCCTTCCATCCATTGCTTCTTTAAAAGCGTCATTTAGCATGAAAACAAAGCTGCCAAATAGCCGACGAAAATTTATACTTTCAAAAATACAGTTGCACTTAAAAAGAAAAAATTACAAGGAGAAGATTTGTGCGAACAGCCTTTGTAGCGAGAATAGTGAAACTTTTCTTTGCCAGAAACTACTTAATGAGAATGGAATAATGTCATCTACATTTTCCTGCAACAGTAACTATATATTCGACTGAGATCTTTATATAATATACAGAGTGATTCTAAATTGTTTTCACGAATTAAAGGGGATGATAGTACTCATGCAGATAAGCAATAATTACCATAGAACATAGGGTATCATTCCCCTCTGAGAGGCAGAAAAGAGGTATATTAGAATTCCAACCCGAATTTACAAGTGTTGGTAAAGCGAATGAACGAGACAAAAATTTGTGCAGTCAGTTTAGTGAAAAGCTCACAAAACGGATAAAACCGAAAAATTGGCGTTCGAGTGTTAATTCGAGCTCAGACTTTGATGGAAAACACTCAAATGCTCATCTTTGGTTCGCAAGGTCTCATCCTCGCAAACGATTGCAACAAGTAATTATATAATAAAGGGCTGAATATTATCAACTAACTCCAAATTAAGGTAGGTTTGATACTATCAAGGGAGCAGTTTTTCCCCCTTCCCCATCTCTTATCCTGTCCTCCTGGACTTCCTGTGCTGTGCTCATTCTACTTGAAGCGCCTTTCTATGAGATACGAAGTTCTGACAGCTGGAATACAGCATGAAATTTTCATTCTAATTTCGGCATACAGCGGAAGTTGGAGTTAGTTGATAATATTGAGCCCTTGATTGGATAATTAACTTGCTGCAATCGTTTGCGAGGTTGAGACAACGACTTCATATCTCGTTGGGTTGAGACCTTGCCAACCAAAGATGTGCATTTGAGTGTTTTCCATCAAAGTCTGAGCTCGAATTAACACTCGAACGCCAAGTTTTAGGTTTTATCCGTTTTGCGCACTCTCTGTGAGTTTTTCACTAAACTGATTGCGCAACCTTTGGTTTCGTTCATTCGCTTTCCCAACACTGCTGTAAGTTCACGTTGGAATTCTAATATTCCTCTTTTCTGCCTCTCAGAGTGGAATGCGACTCTATATTCTATGGTAATTATTGCTCATCTGGATGAGTACTATCACCCCTCTTAATTTGTAAAAACCATTTAGAATCACCCTGTATATATCTTTATATAATATGGAGTTCATCATGTATTCTTTAGAAACAAATTCTTAGTAAATTATCTCTTTTCAATCAAACTTGGTCAATAATATGGTCCCTTTACTCCAGATTTCTAAAACCGAAATTTCTGTGGTGAATCGTTTTCAACCCAAGCAGGTGAGTGCAGTTTTATTTTCTATTCAGATGTCTGCCCATTAAATCTTTATAAAATATGGAGTTCATCATCTGTTCATCAGGAACAAATTCCTTGGAAATTATCTCTTTTCAATCAAAAAAATGTCATCATCATGGTCTTTACTCCAGAGTTCTGAAATCAAAATTTCTATGGTCGTGGTAAAGTTTCTTCAACCCAAGCAGATGACTGTATTTTTATCTTCTGTTCAGAAATCTTCCCATTAAATCTTCATAAAATATGGAGTTCTTTTTCTGTGCATATGGAACAAACTGCTTTTAAATTATCTCTTTCCAATAGAAAAAAAATTTCAACAACATGGTCTTTATTCCAGAATTCTGAAATCAAAATTTCTACGGCCATATCTATGATTTTCAAAATTTCAAAAATGTCTACGAGTTTCCAAAATTTCCACAGCCATTTTAATCAAAATTCTACGAGCATGTCTATCAAATTCTACGACCATGTCTAATTTCATTTTCTGAAATCAACCTTCCTTCGACCCAAGCAGATGATTGCAGTTTTACTTCGGATCACCAAATTTCATGTTTAGTTCAAATTTGTTTGGAAGAAATCAGAACTAATGTTTGCCATCTGAATCAAATCATTGCATGCAAAACTTCGACCTTCTATGCGTTTTACACTTAGTGCGTGAAGAACAAAACAAGAAGCAATTTAAATGGCATTGTAAATGGCCCTATTATTTTCCAAGCCGTTTACAGCAAACGTTTATTATTATTCTGAACTTAGGTTTCGAATCAATAATAGCAGTTGTTCCCTTTACCAAAACAAACAATAAATGTATAGAATGTTCTGACTAAATGCAGGCGATAATTAAAAAGGCAAGTTGAGGCGTTATAATAATAATTGAAAATTACCTTTGGAAAATCCATACAAAATAATTCAATTCTACAATTGTAAAAATAAGTCTAATGGAACTTATTAATGGAATTAGAATAATAACAAAAAGTGTTAATTATGTTAATATGTTTGTATAAATGAATGTGGTGAAGAGCGGCAATCAACTGTCGTCGTATTCCCCGTTAATACCTGCAAGGAAAATGTTTTTGAATTTGTCAAAAAATTAACTCACTTGTATAGACACAGTGTGTAATCAAATATTGTTATTAAAGTTTATAACACCATTCAATAAATAAAAATTATAAAAGATGTATTATGCAAGATATACGAATAAAATCCGATGGATCACATCAAAAAAATGTACAAAAAAAGAATCCACATGCGCGTTCATTTGCGAGCAGCGACGTATAGAAGACAATCTGTAACGTGTTTGAACATGTATGTGACCTAGGGACAGGCATTAGTAACACTCTGTCGTGCAAAAGTGTATCAGTGGCTGTGAAGAGAGCAGAGAATAAATGTAGGTTTCTGTTTGAAGTTTGGTAAATCTGCAAATGTAAGTCCTAGCATGCTTAAATAAGTTTACAGACCTGAGCCGTATGTCTCAAAGCGTATTTATGAGTGGTTTAAACGTTTTTGGGATATACGGTAGGCCTATGATATGTCGTATCGACGAAAACATTGAAAAGGGGAAGATTATTTTAACCAGAAACAGCAACAATGAATGCTAACGCGTACAAAGATGTTCTGGCAAATTTATTGCAAAAGACGTTGTGTACGTCCAGATCGCGCCGAAGCGGATTCCTGATTACTTCACCATGATAATGCCCTGACGCATTTAGCCTACGCCATGAAACAGTTCATTGCATGTAGAGGAGCTATACTTATCTTCCTCTGGCTGATTTCTTTCTATTCTCGTGACTGAAAAAGCCCTAAAAAACAACTGTTACGAGGGTTGCCCGCGCAATACCGAAACGAGCATTAATTCGAAGGAATATAGAACGTTTTTATCCTGATCAAATGAGAATTTTTTGTTTATTAACACATTCACTGAACTTCATCGTAGCCCTATGTATATAAAAGAAATCTTATCAAATTTTACTTTTTTGCTTTCTTAAAGCTTATGATTGATTTTTAATCCATCTCCAAATCATTATCAGACATCTGAGAAAATCAAACAAGCTTTGAAGGAAAACTTTCCAGAGGAGGACATTGAATTCATAGCAGAACCTGGTTGCTACTTCGCTGCATCTGCGATCACTCTGACAACAGCAATTATAGGGAAAAAAACCATGCGAAATAATTCATCGTCTAAAGGTAAGTTTAATGAAACTTTAATTAAAACAACAACACAAAAATATTAATTATGTTCATACATTTCTATGCACTGAATGTGCAAATATTTGCAGTTAACTGCGTTCCTATTATTCAACTGGTGTTCTCGAGTAAAGCACAAATCCCTAAAATTTAATTTTCAATCTTACAGATGATATTCAAAGACATTATTTCCTAAATGATGGCATTTACGGCTCATTTTTTCATGGCATTGAAGCTTACGATATTCGACCCGTACCATTATTGGTGAGTAAGTTAACAAAAATAAATTTTTCATATTTACTTTTCTTTCAGAATCAAAGTTTGCTTCTCATTTTATGTATTATATGCGCAGAAAGAAAGCTGAAATGAGAAGCAACAACATATCTTTCTTTCTTTTTTAATCAAATTAAACAAGGTAAATTAAAAAAAAAATCCCAACAGCGTGAATTTCGTTATGATGTTGAAAGAAACTTAAGATATTACGAATAAAAAGTAATGAAATAAAGGAGTGTGTTTGTAAATATATGAAAAACCAAAACATCCCACAGCAGAAGCCCTCCAAAATTGACCTCACTGAACCATATAGAAAGCTATGTATGTTTAGGACTTAAAGACATACTCTTTACCACTTACTTATTTAGATTTATTGCTATGTAAATTAAAATAAGCATAGGCCTTCTTTAAATCGAAACATTTTCATATAGTAAACATACAAGGAATTTGAAGGAAATTTTTGCTGAACCTCCAAAGAACAATTATGGTACTTTAACAGTATATGATAGAGCCAAAGTTTAATTTTGCATAAATTCAATATATTCAGCTTCAAAACGATTTCTACTTCTTTCCATAGTAGTTCTCAGTTCCATATTTGTAATATTCCACAGTTAAAAGTTAGTAATATTCTCAGTTTTATTGTACCGAAAATTTTCATTTGTTTCAATGCAACGTCTCGGTGAAAAGAAATTTGATGTGGAGAATTTATTAGAAGTTCAAAGAAAGATATTAATTAGACTGGCTCATAAGTAATGTCTTTTTCAGACAGGGCTAGTGTTTAAACATATTCTAATAGGCTGAAACAAGTGATTTTCCCCCGTTGTTTAAGTACCACTGAGCAAAGATAACTTCACTCAGATAAATTCTCTCTTGCAAGCACGCGTATACCAGTATGCTGCTTTAATAGTCCCTGATGGCGATTACGGAAGAGCACATCAGACATGTCATGTCTTATGAATATAGTATAAATAAGCAATAGAGCAGCGAATGCAGTAAACATTCCATAACAAGCATGCGCTCCTTATGCTGGACGTGGCAAAAGCCTTTGACCGCGTCTGGCATGAGGAGCTCATCTTTTATCAGTTTGGGACTTCCCAGAGAACTCATTCTTCTGATCTTCTCCTTTTTTGCAGAAACGCAAAACTTTTTCTTCGTCGCTCAAGGAAATGAAAAGTCCAATTCAAGACCTATCAGATGCAGCGTCCCACAAGGAAGTATTCTCAGTCCAGTGCTGTATCTTTTCTACATATTCTATGAAACACACCCTGGTTTGGACAATTATTCTCTGTTAGCATGTTATGCCGATGATACGGCGATGGCAATTAAATCTATCCAAGCAAATCACGCAATAGACAAAATGCAAAATTATCTCTATGCTGTAGAGATTGGTGCAGAAATTGGCGTGTAAAAATTAATGCTAGCAAGTCACAACTTTTAATCCTCAGCAAAACTAAGAAAAACATTGTTTTTAAAGATCTCTCCCTTTTCCAAGAAGTTGTTCCTTTGGTCACAAAAGCCAAATATTTAGTAGTTATTTTCAACCAAAGGCTCACATGGTCCAAGCACATTAAAAGTGTCAAGAGCAAAGCCATGAGCATAATGTGCAGATTTCTAACTGTCATTGGAAAATATTCAAATCTTAGCTTACGTACCAAAAGACATATTTATACCACATATAAATATGTGGTATAAATCTGTCCACATATAAATATGTGGTATAATATAGGCCAATACTATGTTATGCTGCTACTGCTTGGAACACGGTCACTCATACTCAGCTTCATCAATTGCAAGTAGTGCAAAACAAATTTCTGCGCATTATTACTGACTCACACTTTCTTATACGTAATGAACTTTTACATAGAAATTTAAAACGTGAGACTATTAAAGATTATATCAGAAGATCTAATGAAAAATTCTTCACAAAGCTGTGCAATGTGACTTTGTTATTTACTCTCAAGTTTTTAATTATGAAATTCTCTTCGTAGATAGAAGCCTAAGACCACTTGCAGTTCACACCTTCATGGGAGGAGATGACAACTTTATCACTTAGCTCCTCAATTGGTAGCTGTTTATACTTCCAATGCATCTGATTTTGATTGAAGTTCTACTGTAGTTTGAATATTCTAATTCGAAATTGTTGTAACTGTTGTGGATTTTGCATTGTTGTAATGAAATTGTTGTGCTGTAACTAGGGTGTTGTAGTATTGCTGTAGCGGATAATAGTGTTGCATCGTTGTATTGAATTGTGTTGTATATAGTTGTTTTGATTGAGGTTGTTTTAAGAACTTGAAATTGTCATTGAAACCTTTGCTGTAGAGTATCTTCTCATATTGTTGTCATTGAATTTGCATTGTCTTGGATCCTTCGTGAAAGCTCTGATCGCTCGTCACGTTTTGCGAACTGTTGGATTGTCTTGCTTCTTTTGGTTCTCTTTTTCACCTTTTTCTCAGTTTTCTCATCTGAGATTTTCTCCATGTCCGGATTTCTTTATGTCATATGCCCTTGGGCTTTAATTCTGGAACCGGCAATGTTGCTCTTCGCAATAGCTCGGTCAATTATAGAGTCTAAGTCTAAGAATGCAGTAAAAATTGTGAAGGGAAGCATGGTAAAGGTGTTTTGACATATTCGCAAATAGCGCCAATGATGGTTCTATAGGTTTCGATAAGGCGACCTTAGCTTGAAAGATAGCAACCGCTGTGGGCAAATCTGTCTTTTTACTTTCTTGTGCGAAGTAAAGGAAGTATTGTAATCGCGAACAATATAGGGTTTCCGATTCCAACTGAAATACCCATTTCCACAGTTCCCGAATCCATTTTGACTATTTTTTGCGAGACATCCGTACGTACAGACAGAATAAAACATTCTTCATTCAAAATGGATTGCAAAATGGATTTCTTCGTGACGTCTCTTCTTATGTATATACGTATGTATCTTGCATTACTCAAAAACGATTAGCCAAAGCAAGTTCAAATTTTGTTTATGGGACTGCAATAACATCTAGTTCGGCTCCTCACTTTTATATTGCAATCGGTAATATCAAGTATACATATATATACCACCCACTTACCAGGATAAAATTTTATTTTATTTTCGTAATCGTTGGTGGTAGACATATACTTCCGATTGCAGAAATGTTTTAAATGAGGAAAATATTCATGATTTGTCAATTTCACATTTTGAAAAATTAATTTTGGGCAAAAAACGAAGTCTAACTTTTAATGCGGTCGCCCGGTTCCTATACTTACATTTCGGAAAGTTTTATACTCATTATGAAAAAATAAAAGGACTAGAAGTTTGACTCAAGTACCAAAAAAAAATTGACCGAGTTATTTAATTTTAAAGTTTGCTGATTTTTATGTCATTTTCAACTTGCCTTCAGGGCTCGATTCATTTAGAATAATTAGGGAAAATCTGAAAGGAATGAATTTAAATGAAGTACAACAAAAAATGTGTATAATTTAGTAGGAATACAAAGAAGTCATGAGATGTCCACATATATTTTTTTCAATAATCATGTGTTTTCTACACATCATTGAGTGACACACACATTGAATGCAAATATGAATTTTCTTCACATTATTACAATTGAAAGAAATCCATGTTTAAGTATTGAAGTGCTGACAAAAGAGGTTAATTCGTCATCAGGAACTGCGCATCTGTATTTGAAGGAACTTGGAAGCTTGTCTAAGCTTGGCAAAAGTATTCCATGTGAATTTATTGACGCTAATCGAAGAGAACCTGTGAGCATCTGCACTGCTTTTAATTCACGTAGCAAAAAAATTCCACCTTTTGCACTGTCTAGTGACTGGCGATGAAAAATCTGTAATGGTTCGAAGCTTACAAATTTCCATTGATTTAAAAGAATATAGTTCCCAACTTGAGGCACTTGAAACAGACTTTCAAAACGTTTCCTCTGATTACAGGTTGGAAAATTGTTACAAATTCAGATGAAAAATATACAGAGAATAAAAGAGCTGATGGTCACAATTTAGAGATGTGATAAAAAAGCTAAAAAAAGAAAAATGTTCGCAACATGATGTGTGGTAGAATGTGAAATATAAACGCGAAAATGCAATAGATGCAAAAAACATGGAAAATAGAAATTCGTTTTAAACATCGATTGGTCCGGCGAATTACTAAAATAGACTGTAAACTCTAAATTAAACAAACTATCGATAGTTAACAAACTAAACTATTATATTTCATCATTCTTATTTTACTCATTTGTGGAAGACACTCGGGCAATCACACGCCCTCCGCTTCGCCAGTGAAGCTTAAAAAAAGAATAACATTATTTTTGTTAACAGTAGTGATGGCAGCGTCATCTCACTTCAAAGGGATTTAACTCTCCTCCGGATAGAAATTACAAAATTTCAAGAAATTTTACAAAGTATTCTTAAATCAAAATTAATATACTTATAAACAACATAATACTATTATTATAATTACTGCAATTACGATACTGGAATAAAACACAATTTTTCTTTTACATATGCAAATATATAAGTTTAGTTTTCTATAGGAAGCATTGCGATCTTTGTCATCGCTCTTTTTAATTCTTCTGATTTTGTTATAATTTTAATAGTCCTTACTTCATTATCAGATCCATGATAGACTTAAAAAACTCGACCTAAAATCAATTTTCAAATTGGCAGATAGTCCTCTTTGACGAGTACCATAGTACTAGCAGAAATGTTGTCTTTCTCTACCATCCACTTGATTCTCCTTTGCAGAGTTCCTAAATAGTCATCCGACCATTCCTTCGAAATAATCTGAACAGCCTTTGTTGTTCTCTGTCACCGACTTAACCGATTTTCATTTACGTCTATTATCATTGGTTTCGGAATTACGTGTATCGATCTCCCAATTAAAAAATGGCCTGGGGTAACACTTCATTACAATCAGAATCATTGTAAGAGGTCTCGAATTTGGTATTCCCTCGACTTGTATGATTATTGTTGCAAACTCATCGTACGTAAAATGCAAGT